GTAGATGGATGGATGATGGAGAAAGGATAGGAAGAGAGAGAGAGAGATGATGGATGATGGATGTGGGTGGGAGGATGGATGGATAGATGGATAAAATGAGAGATGTAAGTGGATGGATGGATGGGTAGATGAATGGATGATAGAGAAAGGGTAGGAATAGAGAGAGATGATGGATGTGGGTGGGAGGATGGATGGATGGATAAAATGAGAGGTAGATGGATGGATGGATGGATGGATGGATGGACAGGTAGATGGATGGATGATGGAGAAAGGATAGGAAGAGAGAGAGAGAGAGATGATGGATGATGGATGTGGGTGGGAGGATGGATGGATGGATAAAATGAGAGGTAGATGGATGGATGGATGGATGGATGGATGGACAGGTAGATGGATGGATGATGGAGAAAGGATAGGAAGAGAGAGAGAGAGAGATGATGGATGATGGATGTGGGTGGGAGGATGGATGGATGGATAAAATGAGAGGTAGATGGATGGATGGATGGATGGATGGATGGACAGGTAGATGGATGGATGATGGAGAAAGGATAGGAAGAGAGAGAGAGAGAGATGATGGATGATGGATGTGGGTGGGAGGATGGATGGATAGATGGATAAAATGAGAGAGATGTAGGTGGGTGGATGGATGGATAGGTAGATGAATGGATGATAGAGAAAGGATAGGAATAGAGAGAGAGAGATGATGGATGTGGGTGGGAGGATGGATGGATGGATGGATGGATAAAATGAGAGAGATGTAGATGGATGGATGGATGGGTAGACGGATGGATGATAGAGAAAGGATAGGATAAGATGGATGGATGGATAAAATGAGAGAGATGTAGGTGGATGGATGGATAAGATGATAGATATGGATAGACAGACAGATAAGAAAGAAGATGGAGGTAGGTAGGTGGATGGGTATATAGATATGTAATATAGATGGGTGGATAAGATGAATGGATAAGATGATATAGACAGACAGACAGATAGAAGATGGATGAAGGTACTGGTATGTAGGTAGGTGGATGGGTAGATGAATGGGTGATAGAGATAGGTGGATGGATGGATGGATAAGATGATATAGACAGACAGACAGATAGAAGAGGTATGTAGGTACCAGTATGTAGGTAGGTGGATGGGTGATAGAGATAGATAGGTGGATGGATGGATGGATAGGATGGATGAATGGATGATATAGACAGATAGATAGAAGATGGATGTAGGTAACGGTATGTAGGTAGGTGAATGAGTAGATAGATGGATGATAGAGATAGGTAGGTAGACGGATGGATGGATGATGGACAGCAGACAGACAGACAGGCTGTTGAGGCACTTTACGCTTCCCCCAGCAGCTTGCTTGCCGAATCGAAGCAGCCAGTTTTCATGCAAGATTCCTTCAACATATCAGGAGTGTAAGGTGTAGTTCGACCCTTACCAAGGGTAAAGAAGAGAAGAACGATAAACCTTTTGCTCGCCTCACTTATCACACGGTTCATCATTCACACCATCCTCTTTGCCCTTGTGCTGTGAGCCGTGACATTGAAAGCGGTTAAAATTCATCAAGCACAGTTGTTGAGATGGGAAACAGCTTATCCTGGGATCTTGTCCTATCTGGGTAACAACATTTTTGCCTTGGGCTGTGATACCAAACAGCTCACTGTTAGTTCTGACACATTTAAGCGATTACAATTAAGCACTGCTGGCTCATCCTTTCATTAGATGTTGTTTTCAGTAGTAGAATTAATAATTTGCCATTATTTAGCTTCTCCCTTTACCCTGACAAACTTGTTTTTGGGTGTGTGTTTCTCCCCCCCCCCCTTCTCTTTAAAGCTTCCAGAAAGCTGAATATGAAAAGAAACGAAGAACAAGAATGAATCATCAATGCAGTTAAGAGTCGAATTCACTGGAATGTCTTCGCACTGGAGCAGTTTGGCAACATGAATTGTGTGTGTTTGCTTTTTATCTCCGATTTTTAATAGATAGGGAAAGTGGTTTTCTTGGAAATGTGTGTTAGGATTTTGCTACGACCTTTTGCAAGCTAAAGATTTATCCAGGGACATAATTTAATGCATTCTAGCAAATCTTTCTTTGGTAAGTATTACTTGCACATAATTTATAAAGGGCCTTTTATCAGTTGCCCAAATATTCAGACTAAGCCCTAACTTAAAAAAAAATAATAGGAGGAGGGGAGAAGGATTGTAAATATT